GTCCATTGGTAGTGATCAGTTTGGTCCTCATTTATCACATTAGTCCCCTAGCAGTGTTAAATATGTTAATGTATGTCTTTTCTTGTTACATTAGCAACATTAAGTTGCCTTCAACCGTAGTAGTCCTCTGGCAGCGATTGATTGGCTATTCGCGCTTGATTTCTTTTCCTATTACACAAGCCTACAGGCACACTTATGAAGTTCCGGTTACCAAATTTTAACTTTCAGTTACCAAGTCTCAATTATCAAAATTGCAGTTCCTAAATCAAATTTCAAACTAGTATCATTTGTCCTCTAGGTAGCGATAAATGTATAGTCTTCTATGTTAGTCTCCAAGAATTAGCAGTTTTTTCCCCAATTTCCTCGACTTTGTTTAATTAGTTCATTGGCATAAACAAAGTTGATCTCTGCACCATCTACTTTCTAGGTTGTAGTAGATATACAAATCTGTTATAACCGTTCACGTTATTCCTTGAGCAATGATTATCCAACTCATAAATCTTATCAAATTAGTCCCTTGGCAAAGATAAAACCTACCTTGCATTGTCTATTCCCTAGGAAGTGATCGATAAGCAAAATCTGCGATTACAACCTGCTCTGACAGTCACAAAGCTTTAACAAGTTAATTTTCAAAAGTTCTCAACTCTATTGGATTAGTTTCTTGGAAAAAAATAGAATCAACATCTGCATTCACTTACCCTCTAGATCGTGGTAGGAATGCAAAGTCTATGTTAAACACTTTTCGCATATATATTGGATCAGTCTCTTAACAAAGATTGATATGTCGAATCTCACTCCAGATATCGATGGGTTAACCGCGTCATGATTTTTCACAGCAAGCTGCGATTTATTAGTTAAATTTTGGGTCTTCCATTATTTAATTATCCTCTGATTCAAACGTGCGAGAATTGCGCCATCTTTCACCCTTCAATCGAAGAATAATTAAACAGGGACAACTGTCATATCCCAAATTTGCCCGCAATTCAAATGATTTCAAAATTGAGTTTTAAAATTTATTTGATTTATTTTGGTTTTATTAACATTTGGTTTGAATATTAATCCATTTTGCTTATTTAAAAATATAAAATAGTTTACTTAAAATTATTTGTATTTTTAAATAAAAAATATCACATAACCTTTCATATGTTTCCATGTGCCTTTTTATCTTGAATAGAATGACATAACACAATTGGTAAGGGACTAAAGCTTACAAGTAATATGTCACAAGTTCAAGTCTTATTGGTCATATTATTTCTTGTTACTAATTTTATTTTCATTTTCAAAATCACAAAAATCATATTTTTATTATTTATTTACTATTTTCGTTTTTATTTATTTATTATATTTTAAAAATATTTTTTTATTAAAATTATTATTTTATTTAAAAAATAGTCAAAAATCTAAAAATAAATAAAATCTTTTTTAGTTTAAATATTTTTCAAATTGTATCTTGTGCAGAGTCACAAATAGGATCAGATTCTTAAATTTGCTGACCAAGATAAAAACTTCGAGCTTTTCATTATTTTGGGTAACTTTCTCTTTTTGGTGTTTTAACCTAATTTCTAACTCTATAAATATGACTCTTGTCTGTCCTAATTTTTCATCCACGAAAATCCACACTCACTCATAATTTCTCTATTACACACAATTCTTACAAATTTCTTTTACGCATTTTTTCTTTTGGTTTTTAATCCAGGGTTTTTGTCTCGAATAGAAACTCTGTTGTTGTCTTTAATAGACAATGATCTACAATAAACCTATAAATTCTATAATTTCACACATAATCTCTCACAACTTTCAATTCTCACACACACTTTTTTTCAAACTTTTTTTAAACTTTTCAAACTTACTATGCTTTTTGGCCAATGATTAACATATGAGGTGTCCCTTTGGTTTTCAATAGCCCTTCATTTCAAACCCTTTGGTTTTATCTTTCTTTTCGGCCGATGATAAAATATTTGATATGAGGTCAACCTTTATTTTCAATTTTATTTTTCACTAAAATTAAAACTTTGTTTTCCTTGCGATTTTATTTGCTTATAAATTCTTTGTGTGTTTCCCCTTTAGCATAATATATGATAATATGTGGCAATAATGCAATAATCCCGATGAAGGTAAAGGGTGCCTAACACCTTCCATTTGCCTAATTGACCCATTTATCAAGATATATACTCTTCTGTTTATAGGGTAAAACAAGTAGTGGGTGACGACTCTCATGTTTAAACGTAAATTTTTTAAAGTCGATTGCTACAGTTAAAAATCTATATAGCACTGACACTTCTAAAAAATAACATATTCGTTTCTGTGTCGGGCACTCACACTTGAAATTACCTTTAATTTATTCTTTTTTTAAAATTATAATCAGTGTCACTGTGCCAATAACACATTCACTTTGCCTAAACAAATAGTAAGTGACGACTTTACTGTTTAAACGTAAAGTTTTTAAAATTGATTACTACTGTTAAAAATCTACGTTATACTTACACATCTAAAAAATAGCATGTTAGTGTCTGTTATAATAGTTGAGTACATGAATTCACACATTAAATAAATTTTTTTCTTAAGTTAAATATTACCACCCATAATTAATTTATTTTGTCATTTCAAGTTTTAAATCTTAGCATCTTGATTTTCACTAGCAAGTTGTCAAGCACATTTTCAACATCTTAAAGTAAATTAACTAAAAAAATTCATTTCAATTAAAATCAATTAAAAATTCAGTTTCATCTTCAATTCTCTCTAAATCTCTTTCTACGAAGCATCTCAAAACCAAGATCTAAGAAGTCTAATATTTTTATTCTATACTTAATTATTTAATCACCAAATTACTTAATCTCTTTTTCTCTTTCTAAATGGACCTCTCAAATAGTCTATAACCTAATCTATATAGATTTGTTTAAGATTGCTAAACCAAAAATTTATTAAAATTTATTTAACATCTAAATCAAAATCTTGGTCTTAACAATGTATCTATTGAAATAGATGAAAATAATAACGTTTTTAATATTATTAGTCTTTTAGCAATATGTTTATCACTGAAAGTTATGTGTTTGTTCCGATTCATGTACACACTACTTTATTTTATACAATTTGTATATACTATCTGAATATTGAATATTTTTCTTATACTACACTCTTAAGATAATGTCACAGGATGATGATGTTGATTTAGCACATAATATTAGGGAGTTTTATTTTTGGGGTATCGAGAAGTAGTATTGTTCGGTCTAAATGATCTCATAGAAGGCCCAATCAATCATTTATCAGTGGTTCAGTCCAATCATCAGCGTAGTATTATCTTAGTTAAAATCTATCTTGTATCATTCTCTTGTTGTTATGTTAATCTCTTTGATCAAAAATGCATTATTTTTTTACATACTTGTTGTATTTGGCCTGAAACTCTATGCATTTGGTCTGCTTAATATTTAATATTTTTTGGATTTAATGTGTTTTATGAAGTTACGTATCTAGGCTACTAGAAATTGATATTTTACATTGAATGATTGTTTATTGTCACATTGACTATTGATTGTGAAAGAATACAATTTGAATGTATAAGAAACCTGATTCATATTTTATGAGAAAATATGTCATTTCCCTGTTTTAGAATGTTACTTTATTGTTTCTCCATGCACTCATTCAAACATATCATTTATAAATATTAAAGTTTGGTTTGATTTTATAGGAAAAAAACATGAATTGATGAATTAATTAAATTATGTGTGAGGTCCATAATTCAGTTGACGATTCTTGAGTTCGAATATGAATACTTAGTCCTATTTTAGATGTGACATATATTTTCTAATAGTCTAGTATTATTGATCCAATATTGTTATTGTCACCTAATTTCTCCTCTCTTTTTTTTATGTCTCTAATTTAAATTTGGGCTGGTCAGTAGGGTGTCCCTGTATAATTAGTCTCTATATTTTATATTATAAACAAATAAAGTAATTTTAGTTGATTGAATAAATAATACATCTAATTTATATTCGATTCGAATACATTATTTATTTAATATACTTAATGGTAATCTTTTATTTTTCTCTCATTAAATAAATTTTAAAACTATATACATTTTCTAATTAATTTTTTTATTTGTATTAAGTTTTTAACTTTAAAAATGAAATTTAGTCAAACAAAAAAATTAAAACTATTATTTGTAAAATATGATTAAATTGGGTGGATTTATATTTTATTTTATTTTTTTATTCTCACACAACTGCATTAATACTCTTTTCTATTGCCAGAATTAAGTGTAAATTGACGATGATAAATTCTAAATCGGTGGTACTAATCTCTAAAACAACGACATGAACGTTTAAGATTAGTACTCTAATGTCTAAGTTAATTCATAATTCAAGATGAATATAATGAAAAATAGAGATTATAAAGTAAATCTTGAGTATCATAAAGATGAATGTATTAGGTCTTGACTTTTTGGGCCATTGGCCTGCCAATATATATATATATATATATATATATATATATATATATATATATATATATATATATATATATATATATATATATATATATATATATATATATATATATATATATATATATATATATATATATATATATATATATATATATATATATATATATATATATATATATAAATAAAAGAGAAATACACAAGATTAAAAATATAATAGGAGTAATCTAAATTTTTTATACAATAAATAAACAAACAATGAGAAAATGAAAATCGGATAATAAAGCACGACCCATATTTTTTCTAGAAAGCCCATTAAAACAAATAAGTTCCATAAAAAACATAAGATAACACTAAATTTCTCCTAAACAAGAATACACTCGTAAATTTGGGTATTATTCATTGTAACGGTTACAATAGCTAAAAAGTTAGGGTATATCTTTTAATATTTATACTAAAGTGTACCTATTACATTAAAAAAACATAACTGCAATCTAAAAGATAGTATCAATTGTTGCTACCATACTTGTATCCAAAGTGTAACATCAAAATCACCAAAATCATGTGGAGATCTGGATTGGGTAATGAGTGTGAGTTTCCTCCCGGATTTAACAAACCTTATGAATCACCACCACAACCACGCCTATTGGGTTCACAAAGTAACTTTCCTCTTCATCGTTCTTCTCTTTCTTCTGGACATTTAAATTATCCACCTGAAACTATAAGCTATACTGATGTGCCATTTTTTTCAACGACTACTTTGCCTTCCACCTCAACCAATACCTCTAAAAAGCGTAGAGGTCGACCTTATGGATCTCGCAACAAAAAGTCTCGTATGAATATCGTTTATGGTAATCCTTTTCTTCTCTCATTTGATGATTTTTTAAAAATATATGGTTTAAAAGGAATATTTTATTTGTACTAAGTTTTTTACTTTAAAAATTGAATTCAACAAAAATAATAATTAAAAATTAACTCTTTGAAAAATATGACTAAGTGAATGAATCTACGTTTTATTTATTTATTTATTTATTTTATTAATTATCTTATTTATAAATAATTCTTTTCCTATCTCATTGGTTCCATTATTTTATGTATTTTGTTTTGTTTTCCTCTAAAATGTAATTTCCTTTTTTTTATTTATCATTCTCTTGCATTTCTCTGAACTATAGATGTTTTCTTAATGTCAATTTCATCTTATTTACAAATATGTATGCATAATATTTACGTGTTAATTATTTTAAGGAATGGATATATCTTCACTTAAATCTCACATGATCAACGTGAATATCAAAGAGGTAATGTATTAGTTAATTTTTTCAGTATTATTTAAAATTCATTAATAATATACAATGATTTGCTTATAAATAACTATGTGTTTTTCAATCTTTAATTTTTTGTTTATATTTTTATATGTACCTCTATTTTCCATATCATGACTTATAACAAAAGAAAACTTTAGTTTTAGTTTCAAGAGTTTGTCTTTATTAGTTAGATCATATTTCCTAAAGATTATAGATATATGTCTATGAAAGTGTTAGTGTGTGAGACACTTTTAGTGGGGAGAGAAAGAGATAATAATAAAGGAAATAAAGATTTGTATTATTCAAGTGTACAAATAATGATACACACTATGACTATTTATATACAACCCTAATTGGGCTTGGGCTAACACAACTTGGATTATGTTGAAATATTATATCTAATAAAATCTAATCTAATCTAATTTAATATTTCAACACACCCCCATAATCGAAGTTGCCGAACATCCTCAAAAAAGCCAATCTGAACTATTCCTAATTTCTTTCTCAAATTCAGGAATCTGTCGATCTTCAATCGTTTGGTGAAAATGTCGGCCAACTGTGCTTCACTTGAGCAATGCCTAATTTCAAGTTCACCTTGATTTACTTTTTCCCTCAAGAAGTGAAACCTTGCTTCAATATGTTTACTTCTTCCATACCGAACTGGATTCTTCGCCAGATTTATGGTTGACTTGTTGTCGATTTACAATACTAGAGGTTTCTTCACTTCGACAGTCATTTCTTCAAGTACAGATCTGATCCAAATTGCTTGACATGCAGCATAGAATTCCGCTATATATTCAGCTTCACATGATGATAATGTCACCACAGGTTGCTTCTTCGAACACCATGAGATTGGGGCACCAAATACTTGAAAAAAATATCCAGTTGTGCTTCTTCGATCTTCCTTATCTCCACACCAATCAGCATCTGAAAAACAATTAACTATTGCTTCTTTGCCTTCAGAATCTCGTCGAAATAGTATTCCACAATTTATTGAACCCTTCAAATATCGAAGGATTCTTCTTGCAGCCTTCATATGTGACAATCTTGGTTCATCCATATATCTTCTTACTAATCCGACTGCGAAACCTATATCAGGTCGACTATTGCACACATACCTCAGAGATCCCACAATTTTCTTGAACAAAGTTGCATCGAATTTGTCTTCCTCTCCATTCTTCTCCAACTTCACATTTGGTTCGACAGGTGAGGATGCAGGATTTGAATCATCCATTCTGAATCTCTTGAGTATTTCTTTGTCATACTTTCTTTAATGTAGAACCATACCTTGCTTCGACATTTGAAATTCCATGCCTAGAAAATAAGACAATTTTCCTAGATCCGACATTTCAAATTCCTTCGTCATCAGCTCTTTGAACTTCAACAAGTTCTCCAAACTATTTCCAGTTACTAGCAAGTCATCAACATACAAGCAGCTGATTGTTATATCTTGTGCTACAACCAGAACATAGACACCATACTCTGATTTGCATTTGACAAATCCTAATTCGACTAAGTATGAGTCGATCTTCTTGTTACATGCCCCATGTGCCTGCTTGAGGCCATAAAGCACTTTGTACAATCTATATACTTTACTCGTTTCCTTCTGAATCACAAACCCATGAGGTTGTGTGACATAAAATTCTTCGTCTAAAGGACCATTAAAAATGTTGATTTCACATCTAGATGAAATGTTGACCAGCCTTGGTTGCATGCCAATGCTACTACTAGTCAAAAAGTCTCTAATCTTGCTACTGGAGAAAATACTTCAGAGTAGTCAAGTCCTGCTCTTTGAAGAAAACCTCGAGCTACTAATATTGTTTTATGACTTGCAATTGACCCATCTGCATTGTGTTTCAACTTGAACACACACTTTACTTCGATAGCTTTTGTATGTGTTGGCAATTCGACTAACTCCCATGTGTTGTTTCTTTCGATTGCTTGTAACTCTTCGACCATAACTAACTTCCACTTGTTAATCTTCAAAGATTCACTATAGTTGATTGGTTCAGCACCTGCAAGTAAAGCAAAATGAACTAATTCTCCATCTGGTGTGATTTCATCATCACCCATTACTTCATAATCATGAAGTCTTGTTGGAAGAAATCTATTTCTTTGAGGTCTTTGGCTTGTTTCAGCCACAACCTCTTCGACTTCGACTGTGATGGGAGTGTCAACAACTGCTTCTTCTTCGACTTCGATTAGATTCTCAACAATTTCTTCGACCTCTACTTCATTAGTTTCTTCGTCGAAATCAAAGTTCCTTAATTATTTGTTAATTGAATTGCTAGAATTCCAATCCCAGGAAGAATTTTCATTAATCACAATATCTCGACTCAACACAATATTTTCATTAACTGGATTGAATAGTCTGTATGCACCAATTTTATGATATCCTACCAGAATCATAGGTTCACTCTTATCATCAAGCTTCCTTCTTCTTGCATCAGGAACATGCTTGTAACACATAGAGCCAAACACCTTCAAGTGACTTACTGATGGTCGTTTGCCACTCCACACTTCTTCAGGAACCTTGTTCTTCAATATCTTAGTAGGACACCTATTCAAAATATAAACTGCAGTCGAAACAGCTTCTCCCCATAAAGATTTTGGCAAATTCTTTTGCTTCAGCATGCATCTTGCCATATCTAATATGGTTCTATTTCTTCTTTCAGTAATTCCATTATGTTGAGGTGTGTAAGGAGCAATTACCTCATGATCAACACCATGTTCTGCACAGAAATCTTCAAACATCTTGGATGTGTATTCGCCACCTCCATCTATTCGTAGAACTTTAATCTTCTTCTCACTCTGGTTTTCGACAAGTATCTTGAATCTCTTAAAGATTTCGAATACTTCGTCCTTTCGTTCGAATACTTCGTCCTACTTCGTCTCTCATAGAGCCAAACACCTTCAAGTGACTTACTGATGGTCGTTTGCCACTCCACACTTCTTTAGGAACCTTGTTCTTCAATATCTTAGTAGGACACTTATTCAAAATATAAACAGCATTCAAAACAGCTTTTCCCCATAAAGATTTTGGCAAATTCTTTTGCTTCAGCATGCATCTTGCCATATCTAATATGGTTCTATTTCTTCTTTCAGTAATTCCATTATGTTGAGGTGTGTAAGGAGCAATTACCTCATGATCAACATCATGTTCTGCACAGAAATCTTCAAACATCTTGGATGTGTATTCGCCACCTCCATCTGTTCGTAGAACTTTAATCTTCTTCTCACTCTGGTTTTCGATAAGTATCTTGAATCTCTTAAAGATTTCGAATACTTCGTCCTTTCGTTTGATCACATAGATCCACAGCTTTCGACTAAACTCATCGATAAAGGAAACAAAATATATGTTTCCACCAATTGTATGTTCTTCAAATGGACCACATATATCTGAATGCACCACTTCGAGAATGCAGGATGATCTCATTGACATAGTCGAAATGAAAGAATTTCTGGATTTCTTTCCCACTAAACAACCTTCACAAAGTTTTTCAGGCATCTCAAGACTTGGAATACCAGTAACCATATCTTGAGTAATCAGTTGATTAAGTGATCGAAAATTCAAATGTCCAAATCTCAAATGCCATAACCAACTATCCTTGTGGTCGACAACAGTTTTCAAACATTGAACTTCTGTCGAACTGATCATTGTCTTAAATGTCCTGTTCTTCGACAATGGAGATTTTAAAATCAAATTGTTCTTAGTGTCGAACAATTTCAAAACTACATCTTTCATGACAACTGAGAAACCATTTTCAACTAGTTGTCCAACACTTAACAAGTTGCATTTCATTCCAGGTACATAGAACACATATTTGATCATAACTTTCCATATATATATATATATATATATATATATATATATATATATATATATATATATATATATATATATATATATATATATATATATATATATATATATATATATATATATATATATATAAGATTAAAAATATAATAGGAGTAATCTAAATTTTTTATAGAATAAATAAACAAACAAGAGTTAAAAAATTGAGAAAATAAAAACCGGATAAAAAAGCACAACTCATATTTTCTCTAGAAAGCCCATTAAAACAAATAAGGTCCATAAAAAAACATAAGATAACACTAAATTTCTTCTAAACAAGAATACACTCATAAATTTGAGTATTATTCATTGTAACGGTTACAATAGCTAAAAAGTTAGGGTATATCTTTTAATATTTATACTAAAGTGTACCTATTACATAAAAAAACATAACCGCAATCTAAAAGATCACCACCACAACCACGCCTATTGGATTCACAAAATAACTTTCCTCTTCATCGTTCTTCTCTTTATTCTGGACATTTAAATTATCCACATAGAATTATTAGCTATTCTGATGTTTCATTTTTTTCAACGGCTACTTTGCCTTCCACCTCAACTAACACCTCTAAGAAGCATAGAGGTCGACCTTACGGATCTCGCAACAAAAAGTCATGTATGAATATCGTTTATGGTAATTCTTTTCTTTTCTCATTGGATGATTTTTTAAAAATATATATAGTTTAAAAGGAATATTTGATTTGTATTAAGTTTTTTACTTTAAAAATTGAATTCAGTAAAAAAAAAATTAAAAATAAATTCTATGAAAAATATGACTAATGAATGAATCTATATTTTATTTATTTATTTATTTTATTGATTATTTTATTTATAGATAATTCTTTTCCTATCTCATTTATTCTATTATTTTATGTATTTTATTTTGTTTTCCTCTAAAATGTAATTTCCTATTTTTGTGTTAATTATTTTAAGGAACGAATATATCTTCACTTAAGTTTCACATGATTATCGTGAATACCGAAGAGGTACTGTATTTGTTAATTTTTACAGTATTATTTAAAATTCATTAATAATATATAGTGGTTTGCTTATAGATAACTATGTGTTTTTCAATTTTTAATTTTTTGTTTATATTTTTATATGTACCTCTATTTTCTATATCATGACTTATAACCAAAAAAAAAACTTTAGTTTTAGTTTCAAGAGTTTGTCTTTTTATTAGTTAGACCATATTTCTTAAAGATTATAGATATCTATCTATGAAAGGATATGTGATTTTTCAATCTGATCAGATATTTTTGATCTTATATTATTTACAATTATATCAAATTGCAATTGTACAATAATTTTAAATCATCATCTAGTCTCATTAGAAACAACATCAAACAATTTTACTAAATTTTCTTCATACATTTTCATTAAACCTCAACATTTCAGAATCCTTAAATTTCAATTTATTTATGATGTAATAAAAATCCTTAAATTTCAATTTATTTATGATGTAATGAAAAAATTATTACAATAATAATTTTTAAAGAATGTATTTCAAATACCTCGCAATAAAAGTTTATGCCGCAACAACCACAATAAATATTGCAACAATCAAATTTACCTTAACCGCAAAACTTACAATTGTAAACACAATTTAAAATTATAAGTGCAACATCTCTTGATTTACACTGGAGTCGCGTTAAAAGTTTTCATGTCACGCTTCATAGCAACATCACATCTCTATAGTAAAATTAATCGAAATTTTTTATTTCAATAAAATTATTTTGAAGGTTAATTCTAATATTTACTCTCTCTCTAAATTAACGGAAATTATATGAGACCCAGATCATACTAATTTGTTTAAGATTCAGGCTAAACCAAAACATTTATGAACATTTATTGCACATCTAAAAAATCTTACACTTAACATTATATCTATTGAAAATAATATTTTTATATTAATATTAGTCATCTAGAAATATATTTATTATTGTTTTCCAGCTATTAATTTTTCTTGTAAATGTATATATTTTGATATTCAGAATATTTTGGAGAAGATTATAGCCTTTTCTCATAGTATCTCAAAAAATGTAACCATTATATCATCAAATGGGACCGTTTCTAAAATAAGGTTTTCTCAATCTCCATCATCTACTGAAAGTGTGACCTATGAGGTTAGTTTTACAATTATTAATTACATGGATCTCTAAAATATAATTTAATAATTTTGTTAGTGTAAATATGTTGCATGTATTGTTATGTTGTTTATGAAGCTTTTTATGTTTACTCTAGAAAAAATATTTAGAAAAGTTATTTGAACATCAAAATATACACCTACGTCATATATTGATATGGTGTTACATACATTGTGTCAATTTTAGGTGTCTATATAACATGACTTAATAATACTAAGATGTTTGTGTTTGGCTAATTTTTTATTTTGTTAGGGACTATTTGAGATCCTATCACTGAAAGGTTCTGTGTCTGTTAGCACAAATAAAAGTGAACAAAAAATATATGGTGGAGTAAAGGGATCCTTTGTTTCATTATCAAATGGTCGCTCATTTGGTGGTAAAATTGACGGTGTTCTGATTGCTGCCTCTCCAGTTCAAGTACATATTATTTGAATTTATATAATTTGTATATACCATCTGAATTTTGAATACTTTTCCTATACTACACTCTTAAGATAATGTTACAAAATGATGATGTTGATGTTGCAGATAATACTAGGGAGCTTTTTTTCGGAGGGTCAAGAAGTAGTACTACCCGACCCACATGAGCCTCCTATAGAAGGCCCAAGCAAGCCCTCATCCGCGATTCTTTCATCGGAAGGAATATTGATATCCTAGTTTAAAACTATTTGGCATCATTATGACGTTGTTATGTTTGTTTATTTAGATTAAAAGAACAATATTTATTTTATAGACAAGTTGTATTTGGCTTGAAACTATGCATTTTGCCTGATTAATATTTGATATTGCTTGGATTTGATGTGTTTTATGAAGTTACTTATATAAGCTATTAGCAATTGATGTTTTGCTTTGAATACTTGATTATTTTTTCCTTGATTGTTGATTGTGAATAAATAAAATGTGATTGTATAAGGAACATGATTCATATTTTGTGAGAAAATATGACATTTTTCTCATTTTAGAGTGTTAATTTATTGTTGCTTCAAGCACTCATTTAAACTTGTCAATTATAAGTATTAAAATTTGGTTTGACTCAGTAGGAAAACAAGCATGGATTATTGAATTTATTAAAGTATATGTGAGACTTATAATTCAGATGAAGAATCTTGACTTCAAATATGAGTACTTAATAGTCAAGAGTAGTTGGATGAGATGCTAAGTGATCTATTTCAATTTTACCGCAAGTCTTAGATTTGAATTGAGCTATAGACACAAAGTAGTATTATATTTTTTTGAGGGAGAATTTTGCCATCCATTTTGATTCTACCCGACTCGAGGGAATAAGCTTTGCAACTGTTCTACAATTGCTTGCAGATGATACCCGGTTTCTTAGTTCTACATAGACTCTGAATATATTAATAAAATGTTAATATATAAAATAAATTATTTATACATTTAAAATTTTAATTTTAGATGTGACATATAATTTCTTATTAAGGAGAGCTTTGTTACCCATTATAATTCTATCCGACTCAAGAGATTAATCTCTATAACTGCTATGCAATTGCATACAGAGGATACCCGATTTCTTAGTCTTACACAAACTATGAATATATGAATAAAATGTCAATATATAGACAAAATTATTTATACATCTAAAATTTTAATTTTTAGATATGACATATTGTTATTGTCACCTAATCTATCCATTTTTTATGTCGCAAGTTCAAACTTCCTGCATGTGCATTCGGATTCGGATATCCTTACATAAATAGTCTATATATTCTTTATTATAAGTAAATAAAATAACTTTTAATATCAAATAAATGATGTATCTAATTTAAATTAGATTCAATTATATCATTTATTCAAATACTTTAAGGCAATCTCTTTATTTTCTTCCATTAAATAATTTTTTAATTATATATAGTATGTAAATAATTTTTTATTTGTATTAAATTTTTCACTTTTTAAAATGAAATTTAGTCAATCAATAAATAAGAAATAATTTTTATTTGCAAATTATAAATAAAATGGATGGATCTATATTTTATTTATTTATTTATTATCATATTGATAAATAACTTTTTTTTCTTATCTCATTTGTTTAACATTTTATGTATTTTATTTTTGTTTCCCTTTAAAAAGTGATTTTCATTTATGTTTTCATTATTCTATTGCATTTCTGTAAAGTAATTTGTTACTTTAATTTCATTTTATTTGTAAATGTATATCTATGATTTTTTTTAAAATTTTTTTTAAGAGTGGATATATCTTCACATATGCTTCACGTTATTTTGGAGAATACCTAAGAGGTATTGTATTGGTTAACTTTTATAAATTAATATATGTTTTGAATTGGGTCTATATTTGGCCCAAATATTATATAAGGCCCAATTCAACTATGCTGCAGGAGAAAATCAGCAGGAAAGAGTCCGCCCTTGACAATGTCGGAAAGTACTTCCACTCCTCTCGTCGATCATAATATGTCCTCTGAGGACAACCTCATGACTGGCGAGGAGGACCAATGATACTCAGGAGGTCCTCGCGAGCACCCTCCTCGTAGAATAGGAACCCAACGCCCCTTAATGTCACGAAGTTCTCTTGACCTCGAAAAGACTGCATCCACGTCCTCTTGATAATTCAGAGGAGTCCATTCAGGTTGAGGACCACGTGCTGGCCTCCACTACTCAAGTAGGACCTGACAGTCTCCATTTTAGGCATGCTTGATTAGCCCAACAATGGGGACCTTGGCCCAGCGTTGGGGGCTATAAATACCCTCTCACTTGAGAGGGTCAGGTATTCATTCATTCACCCATACTCTCACACTTACTTGCATATACTCTGAACCTTACTTTGGCATCAGAGTATCTTACAGGTACCCAGACTTCACATTCAACCACTGCTCGACTTAAAGCCCGTGGACCTTGAAAATTCCTTCTGATCAGGTACGATCAGTAGCACCGTCTGTGGGAACCAGCTTCCTCGCCTTTCACTCAAAACCAAAGCAAATATTTATCAACATTCTGATTGTCATGGTCGACCAAGCTGTCAATGATAACCAAAATGTCCATTTCACCGGCGCCAATAACAATAACATTGGAGACAACAACGCGGGCAACAATAACAATGCGGTCGCCCCAGAGAAAGACCATAGGGATGGACAAAACGCCTCTTCATCCACTCGCTCGCAACCACTCCACGACGACTACCATCCTCCATATAATTATGACCGCAATGTGTATCAGGAGATCCCCGTTCCTGAAGGTGTTAGCGTCGCAACTAGAGCCTTGTTCAAGACAATCAACCAGACTAACTACATGATCTTCTCACAGGGTGAACGACTGATGATGCTAGAGTAGACTCGTCGGTCCCCCAGAAAGCACGGGAGACCTGACTCTCGAACTCCTCCTCCCTAATGGAACGAGGACCTCTCCCGATCTCCCCCGCGGAGACATAGATGAGACGATTCCCGAAGCCCTTCTCCCCGCCGCACTAGGAAAGGTCCCGCTTTAGAGAGGACCCAGTCCGAAGCTATCAAGAAACATGGTCACACCCCCACGCAAAGAGTGACGATCCCCTGAATGTAAAAGAAACAAGGGCGAGGAAGAGAAGAAGTATCGACCGAGGAACCCTGCCCGGGACCAAAATCTACACAAAGATCGCTGCTACTATCGGTCCCCATCTCGCTCCCCAGAAAGAAGCGACGAAGACGACCCCCGTGGTCCGTGTCCCAGGCCATCATGGAGACCCCTACTCCTAAAGGGATGGAGAAGCCTCCCCTTCTATAGGGATACAACGACATTGCTGACCCCGTCGACCACATCGACGACTTCAAATCCATGATTCACTATCACAATGTCGGGGGCCCATTAAGTGCATGTTGTTCCCCATGACGCTAAAGAAAACAACCATAGACTGGTATAAGAACCTACCCCCTAAGTCGATGACCTCATGGAGGAATTTGAAGAACCAATTAATTAGAAGCTTCATTTTGTCTCGTTGGCACCCGAAGATTGAGGCCTCCCTCGAGGCAATCTTCTAGAGGATCAATGAGACCCTTAAAGAATACATTGATCGGTTCAACCGCGAGGCCATTCAGGTCCCCTGCGTCGATCACATGAAGAGATACTTGCTCGAGAGGGGGTCTTCTCCTGGACACTGATTTTAGAAAGGACGTTGGCATTGGGCCCCCAAGGTATTTTGATGCACTCCTCGAAAAAGCTCGGATATATATGGACTATTGGGAAAAAGAGGCCGCCAACAACGCCCATGATTCAAGGAACCACGGACCAACTAACGTCCAACAGCACAGTGACGCGAGCCCTTCTCGACGAACATGGAAAAAAAGAAGGGAGAAGAAACCTCGTGACCCCCGCAAGCACAGAGGACCACTTGGTCGGTTCATTGAGTGCACCCTGCTGACTGCTTCCCGCCAGCGTATCCTTGTAGAGTGCTCTAATTTTGAGTTCAAGGACGGCGGGGTTAGGCGTCCTCGACCTACCCCTACAAAGCTCAGGGCCAATAGAACAAAATACTTCCAATATCACCAGAGCCACAGTCACCTGACCGAATACTTCATCCAGCTGAAGGATGCCATTGAGACTCTCATTAAGGCAGGGAGACTCGGGAAATACAAGCAGAACGACGCCCCTCACTACATACCTGCGAGTTTAAAGAAATTGAGGCGGATACCTGACCATCAGAAGAATCTTGTCCCCTCCAGGTAGCCTTTTGTGTCTCAAGGCCCCATGACTTCCACATCCCCGACAGCCTCAAAGATGACGAGCCTTTGTTCACCCACAACAGATGGGAGAAGTTCCCCTCCGCCATGGTCATATCTGGCGGGGGACTCACTGACATCTCGGTGAATTCAACAAAGAGGAAACTCAACGATCTGTTGGAGAAGAGGATTCTACCGAGGATTTTATAGTGTTGGAAAAATAAATTCCGTTGGAGAATTAAATTCCTGTAAATTGTGCTGAGGGAATCATTTCTGATGGGAACTGGAATTTCATAGGTTGTACGGAGAAAGTTTCCATTGCATGCTGGGGAAATGGTCAAACTTCCTTATCCACTAGGGGACCTACTAGGGAAGATGATCATGTGAACTGCTGGAAGATACCTAAATTTTTGTTTGAAGGTATATTAGACTTGTTGGGGAATATATCTATGTCGAGGATGAGTTTGTAAAGGTAGCTCTACAGAGATTTCTCTGTGGAGATTTATAGATGACTTGAACGTTATCCTGACTCCTAGAGCCTTTAGTAAACGCTAAACTTGTTTTCATGCAAATATTTGTAAACAGTAATCATATTTAAAGAGTTTATCTATAAACAAGCAGTTTTATAGAAGGAGACAAAGATCCTAGTAAGAGGAAATAATCGTAAAAATAAAGAAAGTACAAAGAAAAATAATGAAAATAGCTATGTGGGAACAATCCCAACGAGTTTCAACTCTATTATTGCTCCTATGTCTTCAAGCATCTCATCCCTTGATGTCGGAAGAGGTTGACTGAATTGATCTGTACCATTTGAACCTGACGCTAGTAATCATGCTGGCAACTAGTAAACAGGTGATCAGACGGGACATAGTCGTATGCTTTAATCCCTAACTTTTGCCTGGACTGCTCTTTCGGGTTTTTAGTCCATCGGGATACCCTTTTTTGCCTAAGTTGGCTTTTCAGGTTTCTGACTTGCTGGGTGTACAATCTTTAT